TTTTAAAAATATTTTCCTGAGAACCTGAGATTGTTTTTAAAAATTTTCCAGAGTCTGTTAATAATCGTAGTTTTTTTAATATTATTTCAGAGTATATATTACTTAATCATGGATTATTTAAAAAATTAATTAACCGTTTTTTTTTTATTTTAATTATTAATAATTTTGAATTCAAAAAATTATTGAAAAGTTCATTTTTGAACATTTTGAAATATAGTGCAATAACTTACTGAATGAGATTCAGCGAACAGACAAAACGTTTGAAGCTAGAATCTTGAAATTTTACACGAGAGTCACGAGGGCTATTACAAGGGGACGAAATATACTAAAATGTACTACAAATTGAATACTTTTTATTGGACAAACGGATTTAGTTGGAATTCTGAAATTTGAAATAAGAGTCACTGATGTAGTGCGGGATAGATATACCAAAGGATATTTAATAATACGAACTTTAAGGTTACGAAACATATTTTTAAGGGACATAAAATAATCAGTGATTTAAAAAAAAAATTATGGGTCTTAAATTAATCGTAGGTTTTTTATATTTTGGGAGAATTAAAATAATAGTGGATTTTTTAAAAATATTTTTAACGGTCTTAAAATAATCATGTTTTTAAATATATTTAAAGGACTTAAAATAATGGTGGATTTTTTCAATATTTTTTAAAATATTGTGGAGTTTTAAAAAATATTTTCTAGGGGCATAAAATAATCGTGGATTTTTAAAAAAAAACATTTTTAAGAAACTTACAATAATCGCAAATTTTTTTAAAAATATTTTTAAGGGACTTAAATAATCATGGATTTTTTGATAATACTTTCAGGAGACCATTAATAATTGTGGATTTAAAAAAAAAAACAATTCCGGAGACTCTTATTTATTTTGGATTTTTTAAAAATATTTTTTGGAGTCTGTTAATAATCGTAGATTTTTTAAAAAATATCTTTCGGAGACCATTAATAATCGTGGACTTTTTTAAAAAAAAAACTTTTAAGGGACTCAAAATAATCGTGGATTTTTTAAAAACTATCTTTCGGAGACTATTAATAATCGTGGTTTTATTAAAAATATTTTTAAGGAATCGTGGATTCTTTTTTTAATATTTTCCGAGACTTTTAATAATCGCGGATTTTTTAAAAATATTTTCCTGAGATTGTTTTTAAAAATATTTTCCGGAGACCCTGAAATTGTTTTTTTTTTAATTTTCCAGAGTCTGTTAATAATTTTCGATTTTTTTAAATATTTTTTGGAGCATATTGCTTAATTGTGGATTATTTAATAATATTAATTATCGGGTTTTTTATATATGTATAATTATTAATATTTTTGGATTCAAAAAAATATTGAAAAGTTCACTTTTGAACATTATTTTGATATATAGTGGAATAACTTACTGACTAAGATTCAGCGAACAGACAAAACGTTTGAAGCTAGAATCTTGAAATTTTACACGAGAGTCACGAGGGCTGGGTGATTGGAAATTCATACTAAAATGGTACGAAAAGTGCTAAAAACCGAATACTTTGTATTGGACAAACGGAATGAGCTAGAATTTTGAAATTTTGAATGAGAGTCATTGATGTAGTGCAGAATAGATATACTGAAGGATTTTTGGTAATACGAACATTAAGGTTACCAAAAGTTGTAAATTAGGTCTAATCTTCTGAAATGGCAACAATTGGTATTATGTGAACGGATAGAGCTTAAAACTTGAAATTTGATATGAGAATCAAGGTTAGATAGTAAGTTTAATATATGCAGGAGATTTTGGAAATGTGTGCTATGTGTGTAAACTGTACTGTAACTGGTACTAAATTTGGTCTAGGTTAAAGGGATGGGGATAACATTCTGAAATTTGATATTAAAATTAATGATAGCGTTGGTGTTTGAAATTTGGCGGAAAAGTACTAAGTGGTACTAAATTGGCTAAAAATGTATTGGCTAAAGAGAAAGAGCTGGAATCCCGAAATTTGATATTGAGGTCCAAAATTGGAGTTTTTTTTAGAGATGTGTAAAATTCTGAAATGTTTTGGAAATGTGTTCCACAATTGTACGAAAGGTACTGTATGTTACTAAATCGGGTATTGGGTGAAGGGATAAGTCCGAAATCCTCAAGGGAATGGATAAGTCCGTAATTGAGGTCGCTGTTGGTGTTTAGGGTTGAGAAATGGTGGTGATTTTGAAAATGTGCATTATAATTGTGGGAAAAGTACTAAATAGTACTAAATTTGTTATTCGGTGAAGGAATAGGGCTGGAATCCTCAAATTTGATATGGATGCCACTGTTGGTGTGTGTGGTTAAGATATGGAGGTGGGTTTGGAAATGTGTACGATAATTGTGAAAAATGTACTGAATGGTACTAAATTTAGTATTGGGTGAAAGAATAGAGCAGAAATCCCGAAATATGACATTGAGATCTCTGTTGGTATCTGGGAATGAGATATGGAAGTGTTTTCCGAAATGCGTACTATAGTTGGTCGAAAAGTACTAAATGATATTTAATTTGGTATTTGGTCAAGGTATAAGGCTGGAATCCTCAAATTTGATATTGAAGTCTCTGTTGGTATCTGGAATTGCCTTTTCTTACTTTTCTTGTTCTGGTTATTATTTAAAGTCCAAAAAAATCGTTTTAATTAATTTCTGTTGTCTTCTTAAGCTTGTGTTATTTTATTTATTATTATTATTAATATTTTTTTTGTTTTTTTGTTTTGCAAAAAGTGAGTTTGGGGCTTACTGCTCGTGCTGAATAATTCAATGACCCATTATTTAACAAGACAATTGAAATAATGATTAATAATCCCAATGTTTTGAATAATTTTTTTTTAAGCGGTGAGCTTAAAAGATGTGTGGTTTTTTTAAGGTAATCGCCAAGTGTATAAAAAACAAAAAAAAAATAAAAACAGATGTTCCCGTGTCACATCAAAATGTAAGATAGAAAAATATTTTGGGGATTGGATTTGAATTTAAAAAAAAATAAAAATTATTTATAGGAAGACCACGATTTTATTCAGGGTTCTGAAAGGGATTACCTTAAGGTCATAATATAAAAGATATTTTTTTATAAAAAATATATATTTTTATATATATGAAATATTTTTTTTTATAAAAAGAAACTAAAATAAAAATAAGTATATAAAAAAATAAATAAAATAAAATAAAAAAATAACAAGTGAAAAAAAAATTATTCGACCGGACCCAACTTTGAATACCATCCACCACTTGGAAGGAATTTGCAAATTTAAAAAAAAAATCGTTCAAAAATACTGCTACGGAAATCATAAAAATAACGAATCTCCCTATATTCGATATGTTTACCGTTTTTTTTTCTCATATGGCATTACGTTATTCAAATACAAAATTTGAAACAATTCCGGTGAATAGTGTCGCTAAAAGCATCAAAATATCGAATATCGCGGGGTGCCGTTATATTGGGGCTATACGAAGACCTGGACTTGCATATGCAATTTTTTGTCACAGACTTTGGCGCCCATTTCGAACTAAAAATACGAAATTTCAGACAATTCCGGTGGATATTATCGCTAAAATCATAAAAATGCCGAATATATGGAGGTACTGTTATATGGGGGCTATACGAAAATCTGGACCTGCACAGATAATTTTCTGTCATAGGCTGTGGAACCTATTACGAACTTAGAATACGAAATTTGAGACAATTCCGCTGGATAATATCGCTAAAATTACCAAAATACCGAATATAGGGAGGTACCATTATATGGGGGCTATACGAAGACCTGGACCTGCATAGATAATTTTCTGTCACAGACTGTGGCACCCATTACGAACTTACAATACGAAATTTAAAATAATTCTGGCGAATAATGTCGCTTAAATCACCAAAATTCCGAAAATAGGGAGGTATCGTTATATGGGGGCTATACGAAGACCTGGACCTGCACAGACAATTTTCTATCATAGGCTGTAGTATCCATTACGAACTTCATATACCAAATTTAAAACAATTCCGGTGAATAATGTCGCTTAAATCACCAAAATACCGAAAATAGGGAGGTATCGTTATATGGGAGCTATACGAAGACCTGGACCTGCATATGCAATTTTCTGTCATAGGATGTAGTACCTATTAGGAACATCAAATACGAAATTTGAAAATATTCCGGTGATTAATGTCGTTACAAACATCAAAATGCCGAATATCGGGAGGTACCGTTATATGGGGGCTATACGAAAACGTGGACCTGCACAGACAATTTTCTGTCATAGGCTGTAGTATCCATTAGGAACTTACAATACAAAGTTTGAGACAATTCTGCTGAATAATATCGCTAAAATCACCAAAATGCCGAATATAGGGAGGTACCGTTATATGGGAGCTATACGCAAACCTGGACCTGCACAGACAATTTTCTGCCATAGGATGTAGTACCCATTAGGAACTTTAAATTTCAAGTTTGAAATTTATACCTAAAATACAAAAAAAAAAACCTTTAATCTCTCGGTACAGTTATATGGGGGCTACACCAAAACGTGGACCTGCAGATGCAATTTTTTGTCATAGAATCTAGTACCCATTAGGAACTTTAAATTTCAAGTTTGAAATTTATACCTAAAATACAAAAAAAAAACCTTTAATCTCTCGGTACAGTTATATGGGGCCTATACCAAAACGTGGACCTACTTGGCCCATTTTCAATACCCACAGTCCTGTAGACCTAACACACATCTGAGTAAAATTCTATCAACCTAGAAATGGAATGACAAACTTAATATAACTCCCATCCCATTATGGAGGATATAATAAAATATTCTTGAAGTAAGGTAACGTTTGAATTCAGGGTTTCAGTTCCCAGACACCTTTAGCCTTGAAAAAAACATTTCCGGACAATTTTTTTTTTGGAAAAAATAAACCTCAATTTACAAGGACCTTTTTCTACCGGAAAGAATATTTATTTTTCCCTTTTTTTTTATATTTTTACTAACCACCCTCTCTCCCTCCGCTCTCTCTCGTTTTTCCAGTACGTGTCTGCATTGTGGAATCGCTAGGTGCCTATCGCAAAACTCCCAAATTCTGTCCCATTCTAGAGGCTCAAACGAACATGGAATGTGTGGTGGGTGTGGATCGTTTGGATTGTGTACGAAGGATACACAAGGGTACAGCCCATTTCGGAGTGCTGACTTCTGAAGATTTGGTGGCTGCCCGATGGGCAAGTGTGGAAATTTTGGTAACAAGTGAGCTACGCTCGCATAGCTCTCCCTTCGAGTATGAAGTTGTAGCCGTGGTGGACAATGAGGCCGAGATTCATAGCATACATGATTTGCGTGGCTCGAAGTTGTGTCATCCTGGCTATGCTTTGGGTAACCACTGGACCGAGGTGTTGGCAAATGTGAGTATGGCGAAAATCTCCCAAACAGGAGTTGAAATAATAGAGCTATTTACTTTCTCTTTCCAGTATTTCGAATCGACCATGGTCACCAAGTCGTGTGATCCGGATATCTCCATTACCGAAGATCGCATAAGGTCAGCGGCCCATTTCTTTGGCCCCAGCTGTAAGGCAGGCCCATGGGTGCCCGATCCCAAACAAGATCGCCAGCTAAAGAGCCGTTATCCTTCGCTGTGTCAAATGTGTTACGATTCGTATCGTTGTGATGTGGGCGATAAGCACTGGGGTAGGCGTGGAGCCCTCTATTGTTTGACCAGTGGTGGCGGTAATGTGGCCTGGGCTAGGCTGGATGATGTGCGCAGTCATTTTGGGGTAAGTTGGAGGTGTTTGTTTTTCAAAATTCAATAACTGATGTTGACGCCTTGCCTTCCAGCTCACCGGCCTGCCCAAACAGGCTGAACCCTCGGAATATAGCTTTCTGTGTGCCGAAGGCCATTTGCAGCCCATCAACTCCACCAAACCCTGTGTCTGGGTTGCCAAACCCTGGCCGGTGATTGCGGCCCGCCGCAGCCATGCCGCCCAGGTACAAAATCTTGTGACGGGCCTAAACCACGACACTCCGAATAGCTGGCAAAATGCCTTGCTCAGCCTATTGGAGAACTTCCATGTGGATATTGTCCCCCTGGATAATGTCATACCCATTGATGATTATTTGGACCAAGCTCCTGCCTTTCAAAGTGCCTACAGCTTCCCTGAATGTAATCCACCGCGCTCCATTGTCTTTTGTACCACCTCGATTATACAGCACATCAAGTGTTCCTGGATGCAGGAGGCCTCCCAGGTCTATGGTGTACAACCGAATATCCAGTGCGTAAGATCCACCAATTTAGACTCTTGCATGGATGACATAAAATTCCGGGCAGCCGATGTGGTATTGGTGGACCATGAACATCGTGTACAGGCCCAAAGGGACTATAATTTGAAACCGGTGCTCTTTGAGTTCTCTCAGGATATGCATGAGCGTTATGTTACCATTGCCGTGGTCCACAAGGATGCGAAGTTTGAAACATTTGCCGATTTGAAAGGGGCCAAGGCTTGTCTACCCTCCTTTGAGGGCCCAGCCTATTTATCTGTCCTTGAGGCCCTGCACAATAGGACCCACACACCCATGTCCATGCACAAGTTCTTCCATCGTGAGTCATGTCTCTGGGAACCTCATTCCTCACACAAATGCCCCCAGCAGTATCAGGGCGATGAAGGAGCCCTACGATGCCTGGCCGAAAAGGGAGATGTGGCCTTCCTCAGTTCGGATATTTACAAGAAATACACAGTTGGTAATCTTACCTCGGCATGGCTGCCGCAGACCCAACACAAATCCTTTAAGGTCCTTTGTCCCTATGGTGGCAATGCCAGAGGATCCAAATTTGAGTACTGCTATCTGCACTGGACCACGCGGGGTCACATTATGACCCATGACAGTTCACCCACCCGCATTAATGAAATCCACAATTCCCTGAGAGACATTGATGCACTCTTTGGCAAGGCCTACAAATCTGATACCCGGCCATTTACCATGTACGGCATTTTTGATAAGAAAAACGATGTGATTTTCCGTGACCAAACTGATGGCTTGAAGGGTATCTATGATCTGAAGCGGGATCACAATGACCGGCTGATGGAGGAGATTTTCCAAAATTATATACAAGAGAAATATGTGAATACCTTGGAAAGTGCGGCGTCAAGTGTATCAGGCTTTAGCCTACTGGTCCTTGTGGCCATAAGTTTAATGGCCATTTGGAATATGAGATAATTTTTGTTTTTGGAGATCCAATAACTTAAAATAATTTTTTACTTTTTTTTAACAAAAATAGTCATTAGTCATGCCTTTGTATTTCTTTAAATTATTGTGATATTATTGTTTAAGTTTAAGAATAAAAAAAATTAATGATTTTTCATTTTCGGAACTTATATTTTTTTATATTTTTTCCATAGGCGAGAAATCACATCCTTTTCTGGCAGCCTTAAAATGGCGCCCAAGTAGGTAAAAGTGATATTTTACGCCAGAGTATGGGAGTAAAGCCCCAGAGACTCCTTAGTCGAAAGCACCTTCTTTTCTAGCAATTTGGCGCCCAAGTTGGTAAAAAGTGATATTTCACGCCAGAGTATGGGAGTAAAGCACCAGAGACTCCATAGGTGAGCTCATCTTCTTTTCTAGCAATTTGGCGCCCAAGTAGGCAAAAAGTGATATTTTACGCCAAAGTATAGGAGTAAAGCCTCAGAGACCTCTTAGATGTATACTTTTGGGAATAAAGCCTCAGAGACTCCTTAGTCGAAAGCACCTTCTTTTCTAGTAATTTGGCGCCCAAGTAGGTAAAAAGTGATATTTTACGCCAGAGTATGGGAGTAAAGCCTCAGAGACCTCTTAGGTGTATACCTTTGGGAGTAAAGCCCCAGAGACTCCTTAGGTGAGATCACCTTCTTTTCTAGCAGTTTGGCGCCCAAGTAGGTAAAAAGTGATATTTTACGCCAGAATATGGGAGTAAAGCCTCAGAGACCTCTTAGGTGTATACTTTTGGGAGTAAAGCCCCAGAGTCTCCTTAGGAGAAATCACCTTCTTTTCTAGCAGTTTGGCGCCCAAGTAGGTAAAAAGTGTTATTTTACGCCAGAGTATGGGAGTAAAGCCCCAGAGTCTCCTTAGGAGAAATCACCTTCTTTTCTAGCAATTTGGCGCCCAAGTAGGTAAAAAGTGATATTTTAAGCCAGAGTATGGGAGTAAAGCCCCAGAGACTCCTTAGTCGAAAGCACCTTCTTTTCTAGCAATTTGGCGCCCAAGTAGGTAAAAAGTGATATTTTACGCCAGAGTATGGGAGTAAAGCCTCAGAGACCTCTTAGGTGTATACTTTTGGGAGTAAAGCCCCAGAGTCTCCTTAGGAGAAATCACCTTCTTTTCTAGCAATTTGGCGCCCAAGTAGGTAAAAAGTGATATTTTAAGCCAGAGTATGGGAGTAAAGCCCCAGAGACTCTTAGTCGAAAGCACCTTCTTTTCTAGCAATTTGGCGCCCAAGTAGGTAAAAAGTGATATTTTACGCCAGAGTATGGGAGTAAAGCCTCAGAGACCTCTTAGGTGTATACTTTTGGGAGTAAAGCCCCAGAGTCTCCTTAGGAGAAATCACCTTCTTTTCTAGCAATTTGGCGCCCAAGTAGGTAAAAAGTGATATTTTAAGCCAGAGTATGGGAGTAAAGCCCCAGAGACTCCTTAGTCGAAAGCACCTTCTTTTCTAGCAATTTGGCGCCCAAGTAGGTAAAAAGTGATATTTTACGCCAGAGTATGGGAGTAAAGCCTCAGAGACCTCTTAGGTGTATACTTTTGGGAGTAAAGCCCCAGAGTCTCCTTAGGAGAAATCGCCTTCTTTTCTAGCAATTTGGCGCCCAAGTAGGTAAAAAGTGATATTTTAAGCCAGAGTATGGGAGTAAAGCCCCAGAGACTCCTTAGTCGAAAGCACCTTCTTTTCTAGCAATTTGGCGCCCAAGTAGGTAAAAAGTGATATTTTACGCCAGAGTATGGGAGTAAAGCCTCAGAGACCTCTTAGGTGTATACTTTTGGGAGTAAAGCCCCAGAGTCTCCTTAGGAGAAATCACCTTCTTTTCTAGCAGTTTGGCGCTCAAGTAGGTAAAAAGTGATATTTTACGCCAGAGTATGGGAGTAAAGCTTCAGAGACCTCTTAGGTGTATACTTTTGGGAGTAAAGCCCCAGAGACTCCTTAGCCGAAAGCACCTTCTTTTCTAGCAATTTGGCGCCCAAGTAGGCAAAAAGTGCTATTTTACGCCAGAGTATGGGAGTAAAGCCCCAGAGTTTCCTTAGGAGAAATCACCTTCTTTTCTAGCAGTTTGGCGCCCAAGTAGGTAAAAAGTGATATTTTACGCCAGAGTATGGGAGTAAAGCCTGAGAGACCTCTTAGGTGTATACTTTTGGGAGTAAAGCTCCAGAGACTTCCTAGGTGAAATCACATTCTTTTCTAGCAGTTTGGCGCCCAAGTAGGTCAAAAGTGATATTCTACGCCAGAATATGGGAGTAAAGCCTCAGAGACCTCTCAGGTGTATACTTCTATGTTAATGCTTGCAATGCTCTCCCATAATCCGACATTTTTCGGGCTTCGTCCTGATTTTCTTTTTTTTTTTGTGATAAAAGCTACTATTAAATTTCCATCACGGCTTAACCCAAGTCTAACTAAAATAAATGAAAACGTTCCGTAGCTCGAAGGAAATAGTTCAACTAACTCAAAATCTCTTCTTAACTCTAGACCTTAATTCTATACACATAGTTTTTCATTCACCCTCCATTCGTCTTGCATAAAGTGTTACTGGCCAGAATCTTTTTATATAGTCTCCAGAAGACCTCCTTCACCTTCCAAATTATCTTTTTCATGTTACCTTTTTATACCCTTAGCCACTTGGCTAGAGAGGGTATATATCATTTGATACGGCCAAAATGTGTCTCATCGAAATAACGTTTTTAGACCCCAGGTCTCTTTGGACCAAATCAGTTTCAGGACATTTCGAGTCGATCTAGCGATGTCCGTCCATACGTCCATTTGTCTGGCTGGTGCACACAATAACTCTCGAAGGGAGTATCCGATTTGATCCAAACTTGGTATATTGTAATAATATTGTCAAACTTAGATCGAGTTCGGAGATGGACAATATCGGTCCACTCTCCCTGGTACCTCCCCCGCAAAATTTCAACATTTCTTAAAAAAAAAATAATTTACTGCACAGAAAGAGAAAGAATAATCCGATTTTGCTCCAACTTTGCAAATCCTTAAATTTGCATCGGTGCTAGATCAGGTGCGAAAATCGACAATATAGGTCCACTCCGTCCAGTACCTCTCCCACAAAGGGCCAAAATTTTGAATAATTATAAATCTTATAAAATTTGATGGAAGTGTCCGATTGCCTTCAAATTACACACATCACAATATTTCTATTAACCCAAGGTCTGGTGGGAAGATGGAATATATCGGTCCACTCCTTCTTGTACCTCCCCCACAAAAGGTCGAAATTTTCAAAAAAAAAAAAAAAATATTTTTTGCAGAAAGAGAAAGGATAATCCGATTTTACTCCAACTTTGTAAATCCTAATATTTGCATGAGTGCTAGGTTGGGTAAGAAAATGGACAATATCGATCCACACCATCAAGTACCTCCCCCACAAAGGGTCAAAATTTTGAATAATTATAACTATTATAAAATGTCATAGAAGTGTCCGATTGTCTTCAAATTACACACATCATAATATTTATATTAACCCTAGGTCTGGTGGGTATATGGAATATATCGGTCCACTCCTTCTGGTACCTCCCCCACAAAGGATCAACATTTTGAATATTCATGAAGCTCAAAAATCACGAAATTAACATCGGATTCCATTCAGACTTGGCACATCTCAATACTTCCATCAACACAAGATCTGTTATAAAGATGGTAGAGATCGGACCATTTCTTCTGGTACCTCCCTCACAAAGGGTCAAAATTTTGAATAATTACAACTCTTATAAAATTTGATGAAAGTGTCCGATTGTCTTCAAATTACACACATCACAATATTTCTATTAACCCGAGGTCTGGTGGGAAGATGGAATATATCGGTCCACTCCTTCTGGTACCTCCCCCACAAAGGGTCAAAATTTTGAATAACCATGAAGCTCATAAAACGCTAAATTAACATCCGATTCCATTCAGACTTGGTACATCTCAATATTTTCATCAACACAAGATATTTTATAAAGATGGTACAGATCGTACCATTCCTTCTGGTACCTCCCTCACAAAGGGTCAAAATTTTGAATAATTACAACTCTTATAAAATTTGATGTAAGTGTCCGATTGTCTTCAAATTACGCACATTACAATATTTTTACTAACCCAAGATCCGGTGTGAAGATGGGATATATCGGTCCACTTCTTTTGGTACCTCCCCCAAAAAGGGCCAAAATTTTGAATAATTATGAAGCTCATAAAACACGAAATTAATATCCGATTGCCTTCAGACTTGGTACATCTCAATATTTCTATGAACAAAAGATCTGTCGTGAAGATGGTAGAGATCGGACAATTCCTTCTGGTACCTCCCCCACAAAGGGTCAAAATTTTGAATAACAAAAACGATAATAAAATCCAAAAAAAAAAAGCATCCGGTTCTCTTCAAATTACACACATCACAATATTTTTATTGACCCAAGGTTTGGTGGGAAGATGGAATATATCGGTCCACCCTTTCTGGTACCTCCCCAAAAAAGGGTCAAAATTTTGAATAACAATGAAGCTCGTAAAACACGAAATTAACATCCGATTCCAACCAGACTTGGCACATCTCAATATTTTCATCAACACAAAATTTGTTGTAAAGATGGTAGAGATCGGACCATTTCTTCTGGTACCTCACATGAATAACGAAAACGATCATAAAATTCGAAATAAGCATCCGGTCCTCTTCTTATTTAACACAACCCATTATTTCTACTCTCCCACAAAGGGCCAAAATTTTGAATATCCATGAAGCTCATAAAACGGGTACTTCCTCCAAATAGAATTCAAGATTTTTTTGGATAACAAAACGCTCAAAGAAAGCGAAACCACTCGCATATTTCCACATACTCCAAAAATTTGCACATATCTCATATAAAGTATAGGAAGTAGTCGATATAGTCCAAATCTGGCACGTTGTAACATTTATATCAGTCTTAGGTCAATTACGCATTGGTCAATATTGGCCAAATGCTTCGGAAACTCCCCCATAAAGGGTCAACACTTTGAATAATAATAACACAAGTCCAAATATATTTTAATAATCGAACTTTGGCGGAGGGTATACATCTGTCGGAAAATCAGTTTCTCAGTCTCAGTTTCAGAATATGTTAATCTCATTCGCAAAAATTTCTTAATTACATTTTTAATCTTAAAGACCCAATGCTTTTCTTTTGAAGAAGATTTAGATCTTTGTAATTTTTATTGAAGGCTACTAAGAAATACCGATGACAGACCTTCGTTTCACTGCAGATTAGTATTTTCCATTTATTTTTCTCAAAGGTCCACGAGGGCTCTTAAATTTCACTCTTAAATTTCACGAATTGAGGCTTTTTATTTTTAATCCCAAACTCACATGTCAATGTTTTATTTCGACAAGAAATTATTTTTGTTCTTAAAAGGCACAGAACGGCAGGTTTTAAGCTGGCTTAAGTCATCGGCTGGCTTCTTCGTAAATGAACAAAGGAGGTTTAGGTTGACTTAGTTCGATTTTGACCCTAGGCTCCTTTGTTCATTTCCGAAGAAGCCAACCGATGACTTAAGCCAGCCAGATAAGCGCTTTATGTATTTCCAGCTTTAGTTTTATAGCTCTTTTCAATAGAAATTGTTTTTTTTTTATTATTTTCCCGAATAAACTTCTTCGCTGTCATTGGTTTCACATTGATTAGAAAAATAAAGGGATCGTTGTATGGAGAAAATTATTTATATATAAAAATATTTTTTATTTCTTTATTTTATTTTTATTCATTTATTTATTTATTGCTTTTTTTATTTTATTTATTTTTTTAATAATCTTAATTTTTTAAATGATTTTTATTTAAAAAAAATTGTCCCTTTTATTTGAATTTTGAAGCCTTTTTACATTTTAAATACAACCCTGCAGTGCCACAGTCACCACAACCACTAAGTGATTTGAATGCTCTCCCTATCTCTCTCTCTTTCCCACTTATCAATGGATGTGAATTTTTCTCCGCAAACAAAATATGTTTTATTTCTTTATTTTATTTTTATTTATTGATTATTTTATTTATTTATTTATTTTTTATATATTTATATTTTAATTTTTTAAATGCTTTTTATTTTTATAAAAAATAATTTCATTCCCTTCTATTTAAATTTAACGCCTTATACATTTTGATTGATTTTTATTTTATTTATTTATTTATTTAATAATCTGAATTTTTTAAATGATTTTTATATTTATAAAATAATAATATTTTTCCCTTTTATTTAAATGTAACGCCCTTTTACATTTTAAATACAACCCTGCTGTGCCACAGAAAATCACCACAACCACTAAGTAATTTGAATGCTCTCCCTATCTCTCTCTCTCTTTCTCCCTCTTATCAATGGAGGTGAATTTTTCTCCGCAAACAAAACAGCTGGATTACAACTGTACATCTGACATTTACTTACCTCACTTATGCGACTGTTTGTTTTCCTTCTTTCCTTTTTGTTTTTTTTATCAAATGTCTTTTCCCTCCATCGAACAGTTGTTGCTTTTATTGGGCCTTTTGTTTTGATATCAGTTTTCCGTTGCCATGGATGAATGACGACGACTGTCTGACTATGAATGGACGACAACGACGTATGGACATTTGTGGTTGCTAAGGTACTAGACTTGAGTTGGAAAATGTCACGGCATGAATATATTAAGTGAAAAATTTTTCTTGGATCAGGTGGAACGTTGTTTAAAGGACTCCGTCCCATAAAATAATATATATTTTTTAAAATTAAATTTACAAACCAAGTTCCGTATTTGTTTGTGCAACAACGGTGCAGTGAACGCAGTGAAGCCCGTTTAAATGTCGAAAACCGCAAGTAATGTGAATACCACCACCACCAGCAGCAGCAACAAAACAAGAAGAGAAGTAAGCCGTAATTGATGCACAAAATTACTTTTTGCAAAATTGTCGTTTCGAAAATCCACAACAGAAACACACTTCGAATTTCATCACTTTCCGTGGGCTGAATGAAAAAAGTGACCCTTAATTGATTTTCATTTGCACTTTTCTGTGTGGTTTTTTATTTCCTTCTTAATAGATAAATTATTGTATAGGTTTTAATTAACACAACTTCCGCCGTTAGTTTTTCTTCTTTTTCCGAATTTTCCACGCACGACACATTGACAAATATTCAGCTGTTTTTGCTCTAAGTGTTAATGTTTATCACTTTGACGTTGCCAATATTAATTTGCCAGTGTTTTGCATTTATATATTTCTATTCAATTCATTTTTATTTATTATTCTTTTATTTTAAATGGTTGAGAGCGAGAGAGAGGGTCGTCTAATTGAGGAGGGTTGTTTGCTCTGCTCTGCTTTGATTTGACTATTACTGTGAATAAGACTGACCCATTAAACTACTGAGCAAAGAAATACAGACATAAACACCAACCACCAGCACTTAACATATATTTCTTTGACATCAACATTGAACTTTGTTATTGTGTGCTCTCAACGGAAGAGAGTGTAAGAGGGAGAGAGAGTGTTTGGCCAACGTTGAGAAATGAATTGATTGACAACAACTGGACATTTGCGATCTATATTGTGAGCAAATATTTAAACAGAGTGAGAGAGAGAGAGAGAGTGGGAGATGGCGTATATCAGAGAACTGTTATTCAAAAGGGAACTAATATCTGTTAGTGTGTAGTAAAGGGTATAAAACACAGATGGCGCCCTATCATTACTCTGTAAACATGCCAATTATATGGGAATAAAACACGAATTAAATGAAAACTAAAGGCACGAATACATAGAAAAAACCATGGTACAATAAGGAGGTAAAAATACAGAAATGCAGCCCTGAGGCTATGCCCGCATCCTGCTAAAATTTGCATGCAAACAAGTTATTTTAATTTATTCAATATTTTCCTCATTTTTAAAAACAGTTAAACCGGGCGAAAAATGAATGAAATGAACGAAAAATAAATAGGTCGATCTTTCAAGTACATGGCAAAAATTTGCGAATAGCTTCAATGCGCGTCCCGCACTATACGTTTCTTCCAGTCATTAATTTTGAAAATATTTTCTTTTAATTTTTCAAAACAATAAATACATACAAAAAATTGACAAAAGCCGGGCACACTTAGGAAAAAAAAGTTGAAATCAGCTGGTAGCTCTACCTTATTGTACCATGGAAAAAACTTTTTTTGCCAGGCTTAAGTCATCAGTAGTGGAATTCTCTAACTCATTTTTTGAGTTACCGACAAAAATCGGCAACTTTGTAACCCGAAATTTTAATATAAAAAATAAGTTAAAATTGACAACACTGGTATCTGTCGGTAGGTCTTAGCGACTACTTTGATTTCGTCGCTAACTTACCAACAAATTTCGTAAATTACCGAAATTATAAGCATTTTGATTTAACCGACTTTTGTGGGTAACTCAAAAAATGGGTTAGAGAATTCCACAACAGGTGGATTCTTCGGAAACGAACAAAGGCATCATAATTTTAGAATAAAAGAAGGGAGGACTATTAAGCCATATCGTTATAGTTTATTTATTATCCTCTCATTATCATCACAAAAAAAAAATTAGAAACAATCATCAATGCTGGGCAAAGTACCATCACAGTATTTCCAGGTAGACCAGGCAGTCCAACCTTGTTGTTTCAAAATCAGTTGGGCACACTTAACGGAGGGTTCAATGCTGTCGACCAAGAAATCATCACACTTAATGTTGCACTCATTGTAGGAGAAGGCACCCGAGGGTGGGGAGCACCAGTAGTAGTTGTTGATTTGGAAGATACCATAGTCGCGAGAGCCATTTGAATTCAAGGAACCAACAGCCATGGTATTATAGGCCGATTCATGTTCAGCAATACAGGTCCAGCGAGCCAATTGATCCTTGGGCACACCCAATCTATACATGGCCTTGGCCAAGGAACAGCGCGTGTAGACAGTGGCAAAAGTCGGGGAGACCAAGAGCACGGCGGCCAAGATGGCGAAGGTGAATTTGAACATTTTTGTTTTTTTTTTTCGGTTTAGTTACTTAATTTGCGAACAACCGAGAACTATGTTTGGTCGGGTGCCGCTGCAGGTTTTTATAGGAGAAAGTGAAAGTGGTCTACTCGTTATGCGATAAGCCAAGTACGTATGGATGTCAAGATTGATGGGCTGATATTTATGTTTGAATGGTTTATCATTTTCAGAATTTTCTAAAAACAGCTGTTGATATTTTTAGAACAATGGCTATTATCATCAGGGGATGTACTGCAGCAAAAATGTACGTCACTATTTTTTTAAGAAATAAAAATAGTTGGTCTATTCCAGAACTGCAAGAATGAAAAACTTCCCGGTTCTCCCCTTTAAAATTTCGAAAAAAATTCCAAAAATAGTAGATTCTGGTAGGTTCTGGAACAGAGCAAGTGTTTGGTTAAGAATGTTTCCCTTATTTTGATCAAGGAATCGAAAGTGCTGCCCAAATTGAAAGCATGGTACAATAAGGAGGTAGAATAGCTTCGTAAAACTACAGAAATACAGCCCTGAGGCTATGACCGCTTCCAGACAGAATTATTCAAAAATTATAGGCATCAAGTTGTTTTCATGAGTCAAATAGCGCGACATGACAGCTTCTAGACTCAATTCGGTCGTAAGTGCCAAATTCCATCCCATTTGGGCAAATATTAGATGTTTGGTGCACAATAGAAGGTAAATCGGACGACGGTATATATGGGAGCTATATCCAAATCTGAACCGATCTCGATAAAATTTAGCAAAGGTATTTCTGAGCTGTATTTGATAGATTTCCCCAAATATTGTTGTCACAGAGTGCAAAATATCAAATCGGATATAACAATATATATGGGAGCTATAGCTATATCTGAACCGATTTCGATTAAATTTGGCATACTTATTTTTAGGCCTAATTTCATTGCCTGTGCAAAATTCCATACTATTCGGGCTGATATTACACATTTGGTGCAGAATAAAAGGCAAATCGGACGAAGTTATATATGGGAGCTATATCTAAATTTTCACCGATTATCTCTAATTTCAATAGGATTTGTGCAAAATTTCATCTGGATCGGGTAAATAATGCGAATTGTACAGACAGACGGACATGCATAAATCGACTCAGAATGTGATTCTATGCAGATCATCAAAAGGAACTATGGGTCTATCTCGTTTCCTTTTGCCTGTTACAAACAAATGCACAAAGACATAATACCCTGACCACCTTGTGGTGTGGGGTATAAAAATCCGCGTTATTGCATGGCATGGCAATCCAACCTATTATCACAATCGGACCAACTATCGTCGCGTAATTGGTTTCCCACACAAAAATAATACCAGTCTGAGTTATTCTGGAACCATGTACAGGATGTAGTCGAATCTACAATTCTCTGGTCCAGTCGTTGCGATTAAATTCCATCAAATTCGGGTCGGACCCAATTCACACTACTGGGCGTTATTTTATGTACCCATCATTTTGTATTTTATCATTAACTTTTGGTCCTTCGAGGCCAATTTATACATCAGTGATTTAAGGTGGGAATACATAAATCGTTTATCTGGCTTAAGTCATCGGCTGGTTTCTTTGGAAATGACCAAAGGAGCCTAGTGCTAAAATCGAACTAAGTCAACCTAAAACTCCTTTGTTCGTCTATGAAGAAGCCAGCCGATGACTTCAGCCAGCCTAATATGCGCTTTATGTATTTCCACCCTTAAAGCCTCATATAAAGACAAAAGATCTGCATATATTTCACTTACCAGGAAGTAAGAATAATAATCTTAATTCACCTAACCTACTCATAGGCACAAAACAGAAGTTAGCCGATATGCAAAAATGCATCTGCCCTAAAAGTGTTTAAGAAGTTACAGGCCAAGAGCTTTCTCATCTGAGACGTCATATGCTCTTTAGCCTCTAGATTAAATTCCAACCAGTAACATAACCCAGCCTTATCGCATGGAAAAACGGGAGAACTTATCCCACTTTATGACTGCTTAAAAAAAGGAATACAAGTCAAGTCATACATTTCTTGGACGGGACATAAACAAAATACTTCGACATCTCTCCCCCTTCAGACAAGAAACCCACAGAAGGACAGCCAGGACATTTATTATAATAAAATCTCCCACCCAAAACACTTTTTTATCTCCTAAATAACCCGATTGGGCTATTCTAAGGCTGAAAATACATAAAGCGCTTATCTGGCTGGCTTAAGTCATCGGCTGGCTTCTTCGTAGATGAACAAAGGTGTATTAGGTTGACTTAGTTCGATTTTGGCCCTTTGTTCATTTCCGAAGAAGCCAGCCGATGACTTAAGCCAACCAGATAAGCGCTTTATGTATTTCCACCCTAAGGAATTTTTGCAGATAATCCCTTTAATTTCAGATTAAAAGACGGGATGAATATTATGCAATATCGTTATATTTTAATAATGTCCTCTCATTTCCATTCATTATCATCACAACAATTTAGAAGCAATCATCAATGCTAGGCAAAGTACCATCACAGTACTTCCAGGTGGACCAGGCAGTCCAGCCTTGTTGTTTCAAAATCAGTTGGGCACACTTAACGCTGGGTTCAATGCTGTCGACCAAGAAATCATCACACTTGATGTTACACTCATTGTAGGAGAAGGCCCCCGAGGGTGGAGAACACCAGTAGTAGTTGTTGATTTGGAAGATACCATAGTCGCGAGAGCCATTCGAATTCAAGGAACCAACAGCCATGGTATTATAGGCCGATTCATGTTCAGCAATACAGGTCCAGCGAGCCAATTGATCCTTGGGTACACCCAAACTGTACATGGCCTTGGCCAAGGAACAGCGAGTGTAGACGGTGGCAAAGGTCGGAGAGACCAAAAGCACGGCGGCCAAGATGGCGAAGGTGAATTTGAACATTTTAGCTTTTTTCGGTTTAGTTAC